TGACTATTGAAGATACTGCAATTAAGAGTGTTAATAACTATAAATACTTAGGAACATGGATAACATCAGATGTAGACCAAACCAAAGAAATTAAGACACGTATTGAAATAGCACGTACATCATTTATTAAACTTAAAAAGTTTCTTTGTTGTCGGATATAAGGTTAGAACTACGCCTGAGAATGCTTCGATGTTACGTGTTCTCTACTCTTCTTTATGGTCTGAAAGCTTGGACACCAAAACAAGTTCATCTGAATAAGTTGGCCGCCTTTGAATTTTGGTGTTACAGAAGAATCCTACGAATATCATGGATTCAAAAAATGTCAAACATTGAAGTAACTAGAAGGATAGGAAATGAGGCAGAAATAATATTAACTATTAAAAGACGAATACTTGAGTACTTGGGACATGTGATGAGAGGGCAAAAATACGCATTATTACAACTTATTATGCAGGGCAAAATCCGAGAAAAGCGAAATGTGGGAAGACGAAAAATATTCTCGCTTAAGAACTTAAGGGAATGGTTTGAATGCAGTAGTGCAGACCTTTTTAGAGCGGCAGTCAACAGAGTCGGCATAGCCATGATCATTTCCAACCTTCGATAGAAGATGGAACTTAAAAAAGAAGAAGTGAAACGGATTGCCTCTTCTAACTCAGTCATTCTTTTTAACCTGTAATAGGTGAAGTTCTACCTAGTTTCCACGTCTTGGATTGGCCGTTTGGGAACTTTGTTATGTTGTAATTAATACTTTAAAAGCCTTTCTGAAGATAAGGTACTTTTTTTTAATGTTTTTTGCAGAATTGTCGAAAAAAGGACTTTTTATTTTATCTATTATCAAATCAGTTTGACATAACATTCCTGAAGTAATGAATCTAACAGTTTTTCTTGTTGGCGGTTATATCCAGGAATCCACCCTGCAAACTTTTTAAAAGCTGGTTCTTCACCTATAGAAAACGGATGAAACGAGTCTTTGCATAAGTTTAGTAAATCAATAAGTTTAGTCAAGAAACAGAAACTGATAAAGATGACTTAAGTCCATTGTGTATTTTTGATGAATTAATTGGACATGACTCATCTAAACATACAACTGTATCGAGAGATATACAAGAAGTCGACATGTATTTGTCTGATAATATATTACCCACAATACATTTCGAACGGAGATTGGAACTGTCCATTACCGTGGTGGAAAAACCATCGCCATGTATATCCTAACTTAGCCACTATATTCATAAAATATTGTAGAATTGTAACAAAATCTTTTCCTTGTGAACACATGTTTAAAATCTGGTTTAATTTTAAATAAAAGAAGAACACGGTTAACAAGAAAAGTAGAAAAACTTGTTTTTAAATGTCAATTTAGACGATTCGCGATTTAATAATAACGTGTAATGTAAATGTAAGTACGATTTAATGTAAATGTAAGTACTATTTGTATTGTTTAATTTATTTTTCAAGTTATAATAAATATATCCTTCGTTAGGTTCTTTCACTTCAATACTTATACACATAAACGATAATAGCCAATATGTTTGTGTACTCGCTAATTTGAATCAACTAGTTACAGTTTACGAAAAACGGTTCCGATAAAAATTTAAAAAACGGGAGGACCCACCTCTAGTTTTTTAGGTATATTAGGATCGGAACCAGAGAATATGTAAAATATCTTGATCGGAACTATTCGTCTCAGTAATGGCCAATAGGTGTTAAAAATATTTGAGGAGGGGAGACCAAGGGGAAATATGATTGTTATCTTTGTCTATTCGCTGAAAATATGATTTTATATCTGCGTTAGATATCCTGTTAAATTTTACCATACCGACCATAAAATTTTTCCTACACTGTATGGCTACAACACTAACCGAAGAGCCTATAGAACTGCGGACCGAATTGCGGAATATCGATTGCTGAGTCAATCAAGTTAAATTGTCTTAGTTAAAACTGGAAATTTGAAGAGACACTACGAAACAACTCATCAGCAATTCCACAAAAACTTTCCTCTTGGCAGTCTGGCGCGTAAAGAAAAACTTCGGGTATATCTTAATTCTTACGAAAAAAGCACAAAAATCCTAGTTCGCTGCATGAGCGACCAAGAAAAATCCACAGAGGCAGCGTTACGTGTGTGCTGAATACTTAATAAACATCAAAAACCATTTTCGGATTCTGAGATAGCAAAGGAATGTATGCTGGCAGTAGCTAACTCACTTTTTAAAGAAAAAAAGATATTCTCTCAGCAATTCAAAGCATCTTATTGTCAGCGCGAAGTAATACACGAAGAACGGAAGTTTTAGCTGCTGATATTAAAAATTCTCTTCTGAATCTTTTGCAAAAGACACCTTGCTACGCCATAACATTTGACGAATCATGTGACATTGTTGATGATGAACTTGATGATGTTTTTGTAAGATTTCTTGATATTGAGCATCAGATTTTTAGGGAAGAGTTGCTAGCAATATTGCTGCTGAAAAGTAACACTCGAGAAGAAGATTTATTCAAGGTTATTGATGAACCTCTAAGTATCGACGATCACAATAAATTAATAACAGACTCAGTTAGAAACGCACAACTCAAATTTTGCAAGAAAAATGACACCAAAAGTGCAAAGATTAGTAAAGATACAAGGGCTCTCATGGAATTACGACGAAACCTAAGCGAGAACGAAAAGGGAAACAAAGAAGAATATAAAAAACTAAATAAAAGAATTTCAGCGCAAATTAGAAAAGATGTAAGAAGATATAATACTAATGTAATTACTCAAACAGTAGAAGAGAACAAAGGTTTAAAGATAATGAAAAGAAAACTTACGCAAAGTAAAAAAGAAATATACAAGCTGAGAGATAAAGACGGAAAGGCAACAACAGATAAACAAAACATTCTGAAAATAACTAGAGAATTTTATAAAGACCTCTATACCAGCCAAAGACCACAAGACAATTTCCCGACACAAGTAAAGACTCTCATAAATCAGGGATCGGAAATACTTTTACCCATTACTGTGTCAGAAGTAAGAGCAGCTTTAAAGGAAATGAAGAACCATCGATCGCCTGGTGATGATGGACTCGTTATCGAGGCAATAAAAGCAGGTGGAGAAATTTTATTAAAATCAGTAAGCGAACTGTTTACTAAATGCTTACATGCGGGTACGATTCCAAAAGACTGGAACAATGCAGTAATAGTCTTGTTACACAAAAAAGGCGATATTACTAAATTAGAAAATTATAGACCCATCAGCCTCTTGACACATATGTACAAACTCTTTATGAAAATCTTAACAAAGAGGCTAACACCTAAACTTGATTTCTATCAGCCCAAAGAACAGGCAGGCTTTAGGGCAGGATATGGCACAAATGACCATTTGCATACCATAAAGATCTTAATAGAAAAGTGCATCGAGTACAACATACCACTGGTTCTTGCATTTGTCGATTACGAGAAGGCTTTTGATTCTGTAGAGTTTGAAACAATACTGGAAGCCCTAAATCAAAGCCGAATAGATTACAGGTACACGACACTAATCAAAAACATCTATCAGAACGCTACATCAAGTATACGACTGCACAAAGACACAGAAAAATTCAGCTTAGGTCGAGGAGTTAGACAAGGAGACAATATTTCACCAAAATTGTTCACGGCAGCTCTAGAGTCAATATTTAAGGGTACCCAATGGCAAGATATGGGCATCAATATAGATGGAGAAAGATTAAATCACCTAAGGTTTGCAGATGATGTTGTATTAATCGCAGATAACTTACATGATACAGTTTCTATGATGCATTCGCTTAAAAGTCTGTCTGAAAGAGCAGGATTAAAGATAAACTTTGAGAAAACTAAAATTATAACAAATCTCGTAATGAGTGGAAATATAACTATTGACAATAATACCATACAACAAACAGACACTTACAAATATCTGGGACACGAAATCAAAATAAGCAGAGACAATCAAACACATGAAATACAGAGGCGAATAGGTCTAACATGGGCAGCATTTGGCAAATTAAGCCATATTCTAAAAAGTTCAATTCCCATGTGTCTCAAGCGAAAGGTTTATAACCAATGTGTTTTACCTGTACAAACTTATGGAGCAGAGACTTTAACACTCACGCAAAAATCTGCGAATAAACTTAGAGTTACACAACGAGCCATGGAACGTGCAATGCTGAACGTGAGCCTTCGAGACCACATAACAAACCAACAAATCAGGCGAAGATCAGGAGTTCAAGACGTCATCGAAAGAACCACGACGCTTAAGTGGAACTGGGCAGGGCACTTAGCCAGAACACAAGATGGACGGTGGACAAGACGTATTATGGAATGGAGGCCCAGAAATTATAAAAGAAGCCGAGGACGACCACCGACTAGATGGACCGATGACATTAAACGTGTAGCGGGAAACTGGCTACAAGCGGCCCAATGTAGAGAACACTGGAAAGAACTGAGGGAGGCCTATGTGCAGCAGTGGACGCGATTGGCTGATTGATAATGATGATGATTGATGAATTAATTTCTAAATCTAACATCAGTTATAATAAATTGATTTCGCTTTCTACTGATGATGCCTCAGCAATGATTGGCAAAGAAAAAGGTGTAGTAAAGATGATCATTGATAAAAATTCAAATTTAATAACATATCAGTGCATGGAAAATTTAGTGCTAGACTTAAAAAAGTCATGGACAGTTTAATTGTATGTGATCTCATTCTACTCCTCAGCACCCACATTTCAATGAGTTTCTTTCTGAATGTGATTCAGCACATTCTGACTTACTACAACACAATAATGCTCGTTGGCTAAGTAAAGGTAAAGTTATTGAACGTTTTTGGCTAATAAAAGAACATATGTGATCTCCTTCTTACAAAATATAGATATGCAGGGAAGAACACATTTTGAGTATATAGCAAACAGGCTCAACATGCTGGTTGTGGCTATTCTAAAAGATATTTTAAAATATTTGAATGCGCTTACACAGAGTTAGAAGAAAATGGAAAATTGGTATGTGATATGAGACAAAGCGTGTCTGCTTTTCGTCATAAGCTGGATATATTTGAAAAAGATATTGCACAACAAAAATTCATTCATTTTCCAACTATTCTTGAATGTAATGAAAATAAGGAGTACTTCGAAGAAAATATTGCAGTGTTCGCTACATTTTTGGGCGATCTTAGGAACGAATTTACTTCAAGATTCCAAGACTTTGCACAGGTAAACAAACTATATTCACTTCTAAAATCACAATTTAAAGTTGATGTAGCGGCAGAAGGGACAGATGTGGCTACTAAGCCTTGCAAAACTTGCAATCAATTTGGCCACTATGTTTGGCTCAACGTACAGTTGCGGTCACGGAATAGTTTACAGGTTCACGTATCTAGGAGCCCATTTTTTAAATTTTTACTTCGTTTAAACGCACCTTTTACGTCAAAGTGACGTTACCAGTGGTGTACTAGCTAGAATAGGTAGATTAAAATTAAAATATCAAAATATTTTACAAAATGAAAAATATAGAAAACAGTTTTTTGAATAAAATGGATTATGATCTTAATAACGAAAATAAAGAAGTCTTTTTTTTTAATATGCATTTTATTTTAAATCTATTTTATATTAAAATAACGATAAACAATGATAAATAATAATTAATATTTGATGGAAGCCCCATTCTTGTCAATACAATTTTGCAGTCTTCTGTTCATAGATAGCACCAATCCCCTCATGTTATAGTTAACAAGCTCCTCCCATGCCTGCTCAATTGCTTCCCATAATTCAATTCTATTCCGTGGTCTAAGGTTTCTTTCATTTAGTTTCTTTGTTAACTCTGCCCACACATTTTCGACGGGGTTAAAGTCTGCACTACGGGAAGGCCACGGAAGAACATTAACATCAGTTTCTTCTAGCCATTCTCGAACAATTCTACTCGTATGCACCGGGCAATTGTCATGTTGGAAGATAAAGTCGTTGTTGGGGAATCTCTGGATCACCGATGGCAACATTGTGTGCTCAATAATATGTTTGTAATATAATCCTGTTAACTTCTCCTCTACATGATAACAAACGCCCGGGCCTTCGGCACTTATCCATCCCCATACGTTGACAGAGAATCCTCCACTATTTCTTAAATGATGCGTATACTGTTCATCATACCTATGATTTCTCGGCCTATAAACTCTTATTCGACCATTATTATACGACTGAAATACTTTTTCATCGGAAAATACAACCCTAGACCAAAAATTCTCATCGCGGTTTATAAATTCATTACAAAATTCAACTCGTCTCCTCTTGTGATCCTCAGTCAAAAAAGGTTTCCGTGCAGCTACACAATTTAGCAGTCCACTTGCTTTAATTCTTCGACGTGCAGTGCGAATACTGCCTGGAAACGCTGCCTCTTCTCTTGCCTTTTGAGCTGTGGCAAAAGGAGATTCTCTCAAATAATCTACTAACATCTCATCCTGTTGATCTGTGGAAATCTTCTGCCCTCCTGAACCGCCCAACCGTGCTATAGAGTGAAAATTATCCCATATGACTCACGTTCAAATCAGCAGCAACTTGCCTTAGTGACCAACCTTCTTCGAATTTGGCAATTGCTCTTGCTTTTTGCGCATAATTCAAATGTATTCTAACCATTTTGGAAGAGTTTAATATACTTTTATTTTATTGTTGAACACTCGCGAAAGCATTGACGTTTTGAAATTTTTTGACTTTGACATTTATCAAATCCGTACGACACTGCAATTTTACAGTATTACAATATAAAAAGTAAGGTGTAAACTATTCCGTGACCGCAACTGTACCTATATGTGCGAAATGTTTTTCTCAAAAATGAATTTTTTAAAAAACAAATATCACTCCTGATTAACGGACGCCGACCTCGAAGATACACTTCGAATTTTTTGTTCGACTTGAGAACCAGACCACAAACAACTAGCTAAGACCATCGGTGCAATTTTTCGCATGAATTTAAGGTCTTTTGTATTCTTATTAAGAATGCAACAAAATAATAAACGTCATTAAATTTTATCATTTGTTTTTTCTGGATCTTGTTCAAATTTTGTTCTAGTATCCAGACCCAACATAAAATTACTTGCAGGCCCCTGGCCTATAGGATATCTGCGACCAAAGATTAAAAATAATGCATATCGTTGCCTCAAAGCAACAGTAGTATATGTAAAAAATTACTTTTGTGATATTCATATCAAATGATTCGAAATAAACCCTTCTGTTGAGTGTAACTCTAGGATAAGATAAAAAGTGATATACTTTTTTCATAACACTACATATCCTTGTGTAGCTTAATTCCTTTTAGCCCAAATTTTATAATGCAACACTAAGACAACATACATATCATACCATTATATTTTGTCGTTTACCCAGTTTGGTGATCAATATTCATGCAACACTAAGTAATCTTACGCACATATCCTACTGACTGTTGCCATGTAACTTATTGCTGAGTTGCGATTATGTCTTTGTTTATACTAACCAGCTTGTGGTAACAATTTTATCTTCAGTAATCTTAATTCTTAAACAATAGTTCTATTACATTAATGTTAAAAGGTGTATGTTAAAGAGTAAAAATGAATAATTCGGCCAATTTAAATTGTACAAATTATGGGTATGTAGAAGTCAGTATTAGTGTATTTAGCGAATAAAAATAACACTGATTCTGAGTTGTTATCTGGAATTTATCAAGCACAGGAAAAAGGTAAGTTAAATTCATGATAAATTCCCCTTTCGAAAATTTGGGCTGATTTAATAAAATACAATAAATTTGTACTTTCACAACTTTCAGTATCCGCTATTACCATTACTGATTCTGATGATTTTTTCATTTTATTTTGTTTATCTTGTAACATTTTTAAATTTTTGAAAAATAAGTATGTTCATGTTGTTATTTATGTAATAACATGTTTCAACAACAAAATTGTTTTGTTTTTTTTGTATTGAAATGTGTGACATTTTAAACAAAACTTTAGTGCAATATAAGTTTATATAACAGAAGTTTACGGATATCGTCAAAAAACAGATTATCTTTGAGGACAACAGTAGGACAACTAACTTTTTTTCCAAATATTTTTCACTTTTTATTAACCTTCGGCTGATAACGTTATGTCTCTCGCACCGACTGATTTAAATTTTCGCGGTTTAAGCGCTGCTAATTTTTATTTCAATCTGCACCTCATAGTACCTTTCGAACGTGCTTGTATCTATTCAGTTATAGTTTAGCAAGTGGACAGCGTGTATCGTTTAATAAGAATTTTCAGTATTATACACGATTCGGTCCCACAAACCGACGTTATAGTTGCCGTTACATTTTGAGGTAAGACTAATTTTTTTGATTTTTTGTTTGCGGTATTGATTTATATTATATTTTAGGGCATACGTTTCTAATGAATTACGAGAGGGAACAAGAATGGCTGTTGCGGCTTCATGGGGAAGTTTTAAAATGATTCAGAGGCAGAACCAGATGATGATGATGTGAGTTTGATAGACGACCATATTATAGAAACTATGAGGATATATACTCTGAAGAGGAGTTTGAAAATCAACAAAACTTACCTATTCTTGAAGAAACCGCTTGTACTTCAAGAATACCCTGCCTTATCGGTAAAGATGGAACTACAAGGTGGCGAAAATATCCAGGCATTGTTTTGAAAATTATGGTGCCCAAAATTTGGAATAGTTTCAGTGATCTGTGAAAATTTTGAGAGTAAAATTTTATTTTCTCTGTTTATTAACATACAAGTAACTGATTTATGTTTTAGTGAAACCAGAATTTATTTTTTTTGTTATAATTATTTTGATTTTATTAAAAGACTGTTCATAAAAATGACACTTTTTTTTAATATCTCCTTAAAATTATTAAAATAACAAAAAAATTATAAATTTTATATATTTGTATAGAGAATAATATACACAATTATATTATTACAAATATTTATCACCTACAGCTAAATTTCTATTTTTTTTTAATTTTAGAAAAAGTCGGTTTGTTAGACCGACGTTATCAAAAATTTTAAAATGTTTCACGTTATCTGCGGAAGGTTAATTAATATAAATTGTTATTTGGCACATGTAAAGTTGGGTAATCAAACAAAATTCCACGTAAATCCATTCAAATATAAAAAAGTTATTAATTACTGAAGTTTCGTAAAATTTTCAAATGCGTCTTTCTCGAAAGTACATTATTTTACTTATCCTACTGTTGTGAAGCGACGATATATATGTACATATAAGAACGTTTACATTCAATTCAAAATTCTCCCGAAATTTTAATTTACTACATCGCTACGATTAATACTACGGCACTGCCTGACGGCCTTGTTTAATTTCACGTTTCCTGGAATTACAAAACGGGGATTTTCGAGAATAAATTACCCCAATTCATACCATAATGTAACTAACATAATCACACCCATTCAAGGTGAAATCGATTACAGGTCAACGGTACCATCAAAAAACTGATCCGTGATGGTACAGATTGTTCCTCACTCCGTAGTTACATGATGAAATCCCCAAACAATTAATACCAAAATTTCATTGTTATAATTATATTTCACAGTGGGACAGGTCCAGACTTGTTTTTGCAAGTTAGAGTGTACATTCGGATACAAAATTTTATAGGTGAATGAAGGAAACAGTGTGGTACGTAAATATAATTCGGCAGGTTCGCGTTAACGCCAAAAAGAAGTTGTGACACAATTATTTAAGATGTAAAATACCACTTTTAGCTATGAAAATCTATTGTCAGTATTTCTTTTAACAACAGGGGCGTGTCGTGACATTTTACTAAAGAGATGCAAATTAAACGAAATTATAAAAAGACTTATCAAACTTTTCACTTGTAATACCTTCTGTTATTCTTGGCAAACTGTCTCAAACTAATAAGTTCATTTTCAATTAGCAAAATCGTTATCTGACAAAGTTTTTAATCAGCTTTAGTGAAAATCTTCGTTCTATAGACGCACTAACAGCAGATATTGTCATCATTAAGTCACAAACTTTTATCTTTTGAAAGTGATCAAACTTTTGAAACCTTACCATATACTTCATCTAGTTCAGTTTGTTTAAGAAATGTCACCATTTTAGAACTAGAACCAGTTTGTACAGTGTTAAGAAGCAGACAAAAGGCACAGTTGGGAATGCAGGGAAAGAATGTCAAAAAAAGTTTGCATTATGCTTTTTTCGAGAATTAAAAGCATCTTCCGGGA